CCAACTATCCTTCCTCTAACAAAATCTGACAGTTCGAGAGAACCTTGAGTTCTAGGCATGTTGTAGCACAAGATAATTGGTGTACGGACCATTTTCATTTATATAGTGCTCTGTGAACACAAATTAGTTAGCATAAATCAGTTAAGTGACGAAAAATTAGGTGTCTATTTACTTGTGACCACTCAGTGTATATAACGGTGTGCAGTTTAGAAAGGCTAAATTATATATATAACGTTGTGCAGTTTAGAAAGGTTAAATTATATATATAACGTTGTGCAGTTTAGAAAGGCTAAATTATATATATAACGTTGTGCAGTTTAGAAAGGTTAAATTATATATATAACGTTGTGCAGTTTAGAAAGGCTAAATTATATATATAACGTTGAGCAGTTTAGAAAGACTACATTATATATATATATATGTATAACACAACATTATCAGTAACGCTCCAAAGTAATTTTTTTCTTGTTAAAACAAATTCAGGATCTTATTGAACAAGTAATTTTAATAAAATTTTGAAATATTTCTAATACTAATAAGTTAAATATCTATTTACATACAACGAGTTAGTAACACACCAGTAAGTAAATCTTACATTGAACACACTGATTCTCCAAGTAATCCACCTCTCTACGTGATTTCGTGAAAGCCTCAGCAGCAACTCTTCGATCGTGTTTGGTGAGAACACAATTTTTTGTATCGTGATCATATTGCGCTGAACGACATTTGAAACTTTTCTCCATTGCACAGGCCTCCAAACAACGATCCTCAGAACCAATGGCTGCGATGGTCTTATCGCCGTAACCAGTCAGCTGAGCCCCGGGAATTCTATCAAATGACCACCGGCGGTGACACTGTAATCCTGACGAACAGAATATTATAAAAATGCTCATCATTTGTACGTGTAAGTTAGGTCAGTTTAACTAGATGTCTTAGTTGTTGATTTACAAGAAGCTAAAAACACACACACACAAAACAAGGTAAAATGTAAAGAATTATTGGTGAAAATAAGATTATGTTCTAATACTCATACATTACCTCGGTGAATACACATGAAATGAAGGCTTACCAGCAATACAGAGTTTTCGATGATAACTCCAGGCGTAATTCGGAACCAGTTGTTTCCTTATAGAATTATGTTCAGCCTTTGTGAGTATACAACTTTTGTTCTGGTGATCTAAGAGATACGCAAGGCAGTCTTCATTATTTGTGCACAGGGAGTAACATTCGTTATTGGAGGTCACTTTCAGAACTAAGAAGGAATCTGATCCCTGAAGCACGTGGTCAGGTACTTTATATCCTTGTGTTCTTTCGTAAGTTGTTCTCTCCTTGATGCATCTGGCTGTAATATATTCAATTAAACAGCTAGAAGTTTAACATCAAGTAATTTGAACATAGTTTTGTATAATCTTTATTCAAAAGATTCCTCCAGACAATACTGTTTACTTGATAAGTTTGAAAATTATCTACAACTTAATTTATATAAAACAACTATTTGTATCCACGTATATTAATATATCTGATATATAATACTACTTCTGTGGTTTATCTTCTGAATATTATGTTCGTAGTTTACTTTCGTATACATTAAACTTGATATTAATTCATTGTTTCTCATAACAATAAAAACAGTGAAAGCTCCCCAAAACTATATGTGATACTAATTGATTCCCACAGTAGATATAACAGTCATGTTTTATCCATGATCCACTTTAAATCATTGAAATCCAAGGAAAAGATAACCGGCTTACCTGCTATTACAGGATAAACTGTCAGCAGCAGGAACAACATCATAATAATGTGGCCACGAATATCTGATTCTGAAAACATAAAGGTATACTTTGATATCTTAAAAAAGAACAGTCTTAAATGATAAGAAAATATCAATTTACACCTGTTAAAGGTAAAACAGATTACAATCCCGTCACTAAACATGCACGCCCTTTCAATCCTCTCACTATTGGTTGGTAAAAAGTAGCCCAACATTTTGCTGTGAGAGGTGTTGACTAGCTTCTTTCTCTCGAATCTATTACTTCAAAACTAGAAACGGCTTTGTTCAAATAACTCTGGAGTAGCTTTGATCGAAATTCCCAAAAACAAAATACAGAAATAGATAGCTTATTTTCTTATAATAACTCTAAATATGATTCAATTATATCACTGAAATTGCTTTAACTTGGACTAAACATTTAATGTAATGTCACTATTTTCTCTCATTATCAAGATTATGGGTTTCAGCAAGAAGAAAGAATAGTATATTATAGGAATCTGTCGCTGAGTTTCCACTGGTTTCGCGTTATTTGTGGGAGCAAAAAACAAATAAAAAACCTTACCATAAAATACCAATATTATATTATTATAAAGATGTTCCCATTTGGCTTCACCTTTTATAATGTTAACTGAAACCCAAATCTAATCTGATTCCAAATAAAATAATAATTATAGTCCTGTCAACCATAAAATATGCCTTATGAAAAATTATTACGAGACTCGTCATCGAATTAGGATAAATCTTAAATTACACATGTCTGAGATGGTTTTATTGTCTGGAAAGTTTTGCACGTTCTACAGCATTTCCTGTAAGCTGAATCCGAAAATATTATCCATTTTTCTCCATCACGTACAGA